TCCAGTAAAACTGGAGTGCTTTCCATCTTTCTTCTCCCTGTTAACAACATCCCATATTAGCTCATGTGATACCAAAGGTTTTTGGCAGCCAAAGGCCACAACCTAGTTTTTGAGTGCTCCAAGGAATCACTGAGATTGGAAAAGACCTCTAAGATCATTGTGTCTAACTTCATCCAGTCTCTACCTTGTCAACCAAACCATGGAGTGAACCTGAGTTCAAATCCCAACTGCAATTTCCCCCGAGTTTCAATCCCATCTCAATTTTACCTGAGACCCTTTGGACTACGAGAACCTCGAAAAGGGATGGAGCAGAGGTGAACCACAGTATCAGAGAATTTTAGGGGCTGGAATAGACCTTATAGATGATCTAGTCCCAACCCCCCTACCATGGGCAGGGACACCTCCACCTCCCACTAGACCAGGCTGCTCAAGGCCTCATCCAGCCTGGCTTGGATCAAAGAAATGATCTCGTTAAGGGCACATGGAATTAAGGAACGATTCTCTCTCCCAGCTGTGGAATAACAGAAAGGTAACATTAAGCACAAGTTAACTGCAATCCTAAATAAACACTACTTTAACAGGCTTTCCAGATAAAATTCGATACGTGGATACGCACATGGATAATCACGCGGACACACTGAAAACCTAAAAATGATCCAAATTCCTCCCTCAAAAAGGACTCACAACATCCAAATTCTGATGGCACATCTGCAGCATTCCAAAGGCATCACCATTCCCACTGCTGTTCAAGTTGTATTGTATTTTCCAGGAATGTTTGAGACTGCTCCAAAGTTTGCAAAACACCTGAGGTTTTGGTTTGGTTTTTTTTTTTCCCCAAATGTTTGACCCTAGAATGATCCATACTTCTCTGAGCTCTGAAGCTGCTCTGAGCAATCTCTTGACTTTAATCCTATTCCTAACCTGAGAAATTTCTTTCTGCTTCCTCGGAATTAAGCACCAACTCACCAAATGCTTTATAAACAGTCAATGGTATCAAAATGTCGCTTTTTTATACCAAGATAATTATTTTTAACTATGTATCATGTTATTGCACAACTATGCATGTAATTCCCATTGCAGCACTGTCAGTCCCTGGGAATATGTCCCTTCCAGAGGCAAAACTAGCTGAAAAGAGACACAGAGCTCCAGCCAGGAGCCCCCAAAAGGGAATGGGAAGAGGATTCCCAGCAGGCTGCCTGCACCTGGGACAGGTGACGAGGTTATAGAGCTGCCGTTGAGGGAATCTCCCCCAGCTCCTCTTTCCAATCCCCTTTGAAAAGGGTCAAGAATCACATGTGAATGCTGGGAGCACATCCCACTGCCCTGTAGTGGAGAGCACCTCCCAGGGAGAGGGAAGAATGGATCAAGGGAGGGGGGAAA